CCCCAAAACCCCAAAACCCCAAAACCCCAAAACCCCAAAACCCCTATTTTTACAAACCTAATTGAGCTTTAAGGAAAATCAGAGGTTTTGATGAAATTTAGAAAAATTTCAGTAGGCTTTGAGGGATAATCTAAGCCTTCCTGCGATCATGAAAGATGTTTACCTACTTTCTTCCCCTCTCTCTTGGCCTAGACAACGTTCCTATAGAGATAAATGCCACAATTTACTTGAAAATGTCACCAAGGGGTTCCTGGAGAGTATTGATTTCTTTCTAATTTCCTGGTGCTCCTTCTGGAGTCACTCTCTGTACTCCTTCTCGTATCGGTGATAGGTGGTCTCTCTAATTTTAAGCAAGTTCAGCTCGTTTACGTCAATATCAATATCTGGGTTGCATTTCAATTTTTCATAGTTGATAAGAACTTGGGACCTTAAATTTGTAGGAGAAATATTTAGGTTGAGATCTGGCACCTTCTTATCCTTCATTAAGATGTCTATCAGCTCTCTCCGGCTCTGATCTCTAGCGTAGAGGCTCAACAAATGCTTCTTTCCCTTTTTATCTAAGATATATGGTGTATGAGGCTTAGTGAAGTTCTCATGATTCTTCATCTCTGGCTTGAGAAACATGCTTGATAAGAAATCTTCCTTTTGTGGTTCGAATTGGGTTTCCATTTTAGCTTCACCTTCGTTCTCATTTAAACCCTCTTGGTGGTTATCATCAGACATCATGGTATTCTCATAGATTGCCAACGGGTCTCTTTCAAAAGATTTGAGAAGCTTCCTATGAATACTATCTTGTTTTTGAACAAATTTTGGAGTTTCGCCTATCGGAATTTTATAGCCAGCTGTAAGAAGTTACTCAAAAATATACTGTCAAGAACATGAAACTGTGATAAATCTTCTTGATCTTTCTCATACTGAAGGGACATTTGGCAGCTAGATTCCTCCTCGCTACTGAGGTTGGACTCTGTGCTTTCTTCTTTCTTTTTCTGCGTATTCTGAAAATCCTGTGCTTGGGTTTTCTCCATTTCTTTCTTCTTTAACTCAATAGATTCTCGCAAATGGTCAATGAAATCTCTTCGTGAGACAGAATTTGTTCTGAGATTTTGGTCGTTGTATCTATACAAACTATTTCTCACAGACTTTAGGAGAGATAAGAAGAGCTTTTAACACAGAATTGTGAATAAAATTTCTAAATCACCCTTACTTCATCATTATGTACTTGTTGAGAATCATATCTGTGTTAAGGTCTTTGAACTCTTCTTGGCATTTCCTAGGCGAAATTGAAACGACTAGAGCTCTTAGGTGTAGATCTTGGAGATTTTTCCTTGCCCAGAATCATCCTGCTTCGAGTTATACTCTTGTTTCACAACTTGGGAGGACTCAGATGGGACTTATTTACTCTTGACTGGGATTAAACCATTCTTTAAAGAGTTTAATGGGCTTTTTGGAAACAGAGGCTCCAAAAAGTTGTTCTTTTTGAAGAAATTTGGGCTAGGCTTATAACCATCGAGTGTTCCCTTGTATAGAATTGATTGTCTTCCTTGGGTTGAGAAGAAGTTTTGATGGGTATTCACTAATTTTGGATTCCTAGAAGTTGCAACTTGAAGCGGCTCATTGTTATATCGCTTTTTCAAGTACGAATGGCCTCTTATTTCGGCTTTTCTTAAGACTTGATTTTTAATACAATTCTTTCTTAATTCATCATCTCTGTAATTTACCTTAATCAACCCAAATTTCAAAAATCCAAAAAAGCCAACTCATCCAAATTACCTTCTAGATCACTAAAAACATCTCTAACCCCTCATAACTCCACTTATAACTCTCTCTAGTATCTTTTACCTCTCTATCCCATATTTATTCCTTTTCCCAATCATTAAATAAATTCAATAAAATTTCCGAAAAAAGGGGTTTTGGGGTTTTGGGGTTTTGGGGTTTGGGG